GTTTTTTTTTTTTTTTTTTTTTTTTTTATCTATTCCGAAATATTTAAAATTAAAATTATTATAGGTTATCGTTCAAAGTTATAAAAATGGTTATAATCGGTTTAGTATCGTATAATGTTTAGTGAGAAGTGAAATTTGAAATGAAGATGTTTGATTAATTCCGCAGAAAAATAAATCAAATTTTCTCGAAAATCTCCAAAACAATAATTGACATCTCGTGTAGTTAACGTAATAATATATTTTAAAGCAAATTTAATATATATAGTTGCTCTGCCGATAGATACTCTAAAAGCCAATCGGCACTGTGTTAATGCGCGTAGCGACAATATAATGGAAATTAAGGAACACCGCCATGTTATTTTTTTTTCTTTTTGTTTTTACTTTTTTCGCATTATTAAAAAGCAACAGCACTCTGTTTACTCCGACCAGAACTTTCCCTATTAAAATGCCGACGACGGTGGTGACAGCAGAGTGTTTCGCCGCACACGAGTCTCGGAGAGTATAGTGGTAGCTACTCGAAAACAAAAGGCCTCATATACGCATTGTCAAATATAATGTAAATGAAACTATCGTTTAAAGACACTTGTAAAATATCATTATCCACGAATATTTTTTAAAACGATGACGAAAACATGTTTTAAGTACGGATAACCATTGATGTTCGATCAGTCCCCCCCCAATCGAGACTTGGATGTCTATACAGGACAATTTTTAAATCATTAGTCGTCCACTAAGATGTGGAGTATAAAATTATTATGTGTGTATTCGATTCGCGTTTATTTTAGTCATTAAATGGAACAATACTGATGAAGGATCTTACTTGCCCATAATGTCTCGTAAAACATCAATAAATACCGATATTAAACCTAACCAAGGTCTATGTTTGAAGCTGTCCACGAATGAAAAAAAAAACTTTTACGTTTCACTATTACATCAGTGGCGTACGCAAGGGGGGGCATAGGGCTGAAGCCCCCTTCATTGATCGTATAAATATATATATACACACATATTTGTATATATTTTTCAAGTTTCAACTGTAACAATAAATAGACTTTTTTTCCGTAAAATGTGCTATTTTCGTGTGTAAATAATTTTACACCGCGGTGACACGTCGAACACGCCGATTATTATTCCGGTAATAACAACGATGCATTTAGTCGGTGCGGTAAAGTATTGGCCGAACCAATTTCTCCCCGGACCGTGTCCGCGGTCGCACTGTGAGCGGTCTTCGGCGGCTGCGGCGGCGGTCATTGGCGGGCGTCTACGCTCTCCGTGGTGTCTAACACAACGTAAAACGTTTGCCATCATTCATTTCATTTGCTATTTTGCTGCTCGGGTACAACTGCGGAACTCTCAACGTCTCTTTGTTATTATTACAACTTTAGTGGTTGGCGTGCATACGCGGGCTTCCACACAACCTTAGATAATATATGTGATTACAATTGCAATATTGAATTTACTAAACAGACGTTAACAATAATTAACGCATCGTTAAGTTAGCCCATGGATGTTGTTGATAATACTAATATAGCCTTTAATTAGTGAAAAAAATTAGGTAGGTATGTAGATAATATTGTTTTCACTTATTTCTCGAGTATCAAAGTAATAATATTTTGTATAGGTTTTCCGTCCTTTTTTTCGTATAAAACGTATCTCATAGTTTTGCACATTAAAATAAATATGTAACTATTCATTATGGCAGAAAAGAGATCAAATTTTTTTTTTACTTTTAGCTTAAAAAACAGTAGGTAAGTATGCAATCCATAATTCATTAAATTCTAATTTTGGTTGACCTCTGGCTTTTTTAATCTCCTACTAGCTTAAAAATTGTATTTTACTGCCAACATTTTTATAGTTACCTAAATATTACTTTTTAGATTATGAGTTTAACGAAAAATGTATTGATTTTACAAAGATAAAAAATAAGTTAAAAGATATAAGGTTTTTTTTTATGTGAACACTTACAACCAGAAATCTTACTCCAAATATTAAATATAGCATCTTTTCTGAAAGGAATTTTTCTCTTTTAGAGACGTTTTTTTTTTTTAAATTCTTATTATTATTCGATATAATGAAGAAAGTCTGTTTCTTTAGGTTAAACTAGATTAAAAGGTTAAAAATAAGGTTTTTATTGGTATCCGTTTGTATTCATTTTTTATTATTATTCAGTTTTTATTGTTTTAATTTTTTTTAAAACTATTATTGGTACAATGGAAATGCAAATTGTTGTAATTATTTTACTTTGACATATGTACTGACAAAGACACACCATCAACTGAGTTCCGCTCAGAATCGTTTATTCGGTAACAATGGTTTATCGTTGCTTATAGATATACATTAAATTCCCATTTAAATCCTACCTTCCCAACTTCCTACTTACAGCAGTGGCTACGTGCAAAGTATGTCCGTCCTTTTTTTTTACATTTTTTGTGT